GCACAGAGTGGATCTTCACAGACTCAAGGGGTTTTGCTTGCGTGGAAAAACAATAGTTGAAATAACTGCTGGAAAAAAAAATCTTTAAAATGTGATGCATCAGGCATTTTGTTTATTCTTCTACTCATGGTTACATTCATACATCGATTATTTATAAAGTGCCTTTATAAATGACATGATTGCCATGACAATTGTATTGATGCACTTGTAGTGCGTTATGGGTAATTGATAAACAGCTGGGGAGCAGGACCAAATTGGACAGCAGCTTATTGTCTGTGATTGTGCAGATGTGGGAACAGCACTTCTAGCTGACAAGCTGGCTCAGATGGGGACAAGAGATCATTTGCGAGGCTCAGACTACTAATATGAATTTGGCAATTCATCCAGACCGTATAAGTGCCAAACCCTGACTGAGTTGCACGTCTCTGATGCTGGGGGGCAGGGACATGGGTTCACCATGGGTTCAATGGGTGGCACAATTCATTCACATCCACTTCAATGTATTTAGGTCAGAAACTCCATCCTGATTGGTTTCTTGGGGATCTAGGAAACTCTGGCGCTGTGTGATGGCAAAGCTGTTAGAGGTTCGCAGGTCCTGCTTGAATCTGCCTACTCCCAAGTCCTCTGTTGCTGTGTTCCCGGATGGTAGGAATGCCCAGCCAACAAATAAAATGGGAAGTTGGCCTTCCTACATTCAGGTTTGCTCCTTTGCTCCATGGAATCTCTGTGCTTTATTAATTCTCTCTATGCTACTGTATGATGTGCCATAAAACTATATTGAGTGACTGAGTCAGTCATTTCTCAATAAACAAAACTTCTCAAGTTGCATGTTGTAAGGAGTAAAGGTAATTTTAATTGGAGGAACACGTTTAAAGGCATAGAACAGGAAAATGGAGGGTTCAAAAAAAGGTTTAATGCTCAAGCGCAGGGATCATATAGTCTGTTAATATTGTATATCACTGAGATTCTGGCATATGCAGTTGCCTGTGCCACATGTCCCTTTTCCTTTGGATATTTTTTGACAATCCTGACTGCTGACCCAAACTACTGTTTGCAGATCCTTCTCAATTTGGAGGACTAGCAAACACTGTAGAAGTAGCAAAGAATTTATAAAAATGAAAAGAAAAAAAATCCATCAGGACTAATATTGAAATTTGATGACCTTTGGAGAATTGACTGATCTGATGGGCCAGATAGGTTACAGATGATTCCAGCTTTCTTATGTTTTAATGTGGACAAGTGTAGAGTGTATGCTGGTAGTAAAAACAAAATCTGTGAACATATATAGAAAGATGGGGGGGGGTATTATTAGGTATTGTAGTGCATTTTAACACATTGATTGCTTCACAAAAAAACAAACTGAACATTAAGATACAGTATATTAGTCCAGAGATGACTGCCAGGTTTAGATACTTTATTAATCCCGAAAGGGAAATTGCAGTGCAACAGCAGCGAGGCACAATCAACACAGCACAGTACAACATAATACAACAGTACAATAAATAGTCAGTACAAAATGGAATATAAAGAATTGCACACAATACAAAACATACAAAATAAACCAGAATGTACAGTGCACAACGAAAATGTATTGCCCTGTATAGATGTATAAAT